AACAGTAGACTAGGAGAAGCTGAGGACCGAATTAGTGAATTAGAAGACAGGGAAGCAAAACACAGCCAAACTGAACTGCAACTGAAGAAAAAAAATTAAAAGACAGGAGGAGAGCTAAGGGAGCTTTGGGACATGAAATGAAGCAACATACGAATAATAGGTGTGCCAGAACAACAGGAAGAGGAACAAGAGTTAGAAAACCTATTTGAAGAAATACTGTCAGAAAACTTCCCTGATGTAGGGAAAGAAAAAATTCACACAAGCACAGAGAGTCTCAAACAAGATGAACCTGTAAAGACCCACACTAAGACACGTCATAATTACAATGGCAAACGTTCAGGACAAAGAGAGAATCTTAAAGGCTGCAATAGAGAGAGACAAAGTTATATACAGGGATCTCCCATTAGATTATCAAATGATTTCCCAAAAGAAACACATCACGCCAGAAAGGAATGGAAGGAAATTTACAAAGTGATGCAAAGCAAGGGACTGAATCCAAGAATACTCCATCCAGCAAGGCTATCATTCAAATTTAAAGGGGAAATAAGGAGCTTCACAGACAATAAAAGGCTAAGGGATTTTATCACTACCAAGCCAGCAATGTAAGAAATGCTAAAGGGACTGGTGTAAAAAGAAGAAATAATAAGAGAAGAAGGAACACAGGCATAAATAATAAACATGGCTACAAACAAGTACCTATCAGTAATAACTTTAAACATAAACGGACTAAATGCTCCAATCAAAAGACATCAAGTGGTTGAAGGGATAAATAAGCATGACCCATATATATGCTGTCTATAAGAGATCCACCTCAGAACAAGGACTCACACAGACTAAAAGTGAAGGGATGAAAAAACATCTTTTAGGCAAATGGAAATGAAAAAAAAAGCTGGGGTAGCAAAACTTACTAGGTGTACCAGTTAATGCGGATTTTTTTCAATAGATGGAGTTACACATATGTTGATATATATGTGACTTGATATGTATGCTATTTTGTTGTATTGACAGCAGGCTTCAAAACTTCATATGTCAAATTTGCTGAAGGTGTTAACATAATAGATATTTTTATGCTTAAAAATGTCAAATTTCATGCCAAAAAAAGAGCATTTGTGGGAAGTTTTAATTCATTACTTTATTTTGAAGAAAAGTGCTGCTGAAAGTTATTGTATACTTCGGGAAGCTTATGGTGAATATGCTCCATCTCAAGATACTTGTGAACGCTGGTTTAAGCGCTTTAAAAGTGATGCTTTCGATGTGAAAGACAAAGGATGTCCAGGTCAACCGAGAAAGTGTGAAGACCAACAATTACAAGCATTATTAGATGAAGATTCGTCTCAAACTCAAAAACAACTTGCAGGAAGATTAAACATTGTTCAGCAAACAATTTCCGATCGTTTACAAGCAATGGGAGAGATTTTAAAGGGAGGAAAATGGGTGCCACATCAACTGAATGAAAAACAAATGGAAAACCGAAGTCATCAATAAAATGTTTCAATGGCATGAAAGAAAGTCTTTTTTGCATCGAATTGTAACTGGCGATGAAAAGTGGATTTATTTTGAGAATCCCAAATGCACAAAATCATGGGTTGATCCAGGTCAACCATCAACATCGACTGCAAGGCCAAATCAATTCAGAAAGAAGACAATGCTCTGCGTTTGGTGGGATCAGGAAAGTGTGGTGTATTATGAGCTTCTAAAACCAGGTGAAACTGTTAATACTGATCACTACCAACAACAAAAAATCAATTTGAACCACACTTTGATCGTGAAACGATCAAATGTGCCATTTGAATGTGCCATTCGACATAGCAAAGTAATTTTGCTTCATGATAACACACCATAACACACTTCAAAACCAGTTAAAGACACGTTAAACGATCTTGCCTGGGAAGTATTAACCCACCCACCGTATTCACCAGACCTTGCTCCTTCAGATTACCACTTGTTCCAGTTGATGACACATGCACTTTTTCTGAGCAGCACTTCAAAATGTATGAAGTGGAAAATTTGGTCTCTGAATGGTTTGCCTCAAAATGAGAAAAGTTCTATAGGGACCGTATCCACAAATTACCTGAAATATGTTAACTAGCAATGGACATTACTTTGAATAAAACGCTTTTGATGTTTTTCTTGAAATTATTGTTTTGATTACAAAATCCGCATTATTAACCGGTACACCTAGTATATCTGACAAAATAAACCTCAAAGTGAAGGCCATAAGAGATAAGGAAGGCCACTTCATAATAATAAAGGGATCGATACAACAAGAGGCTATAACCCTGGTAAACATATATGCACCCAATGCAGTAGCACCAAATACATAAAAAAAAAAACTCCTGGAAGATATCAACGGAGAGATCGACAACAATACAATCATAGTAGGGGACTTTAATACACCACTGACATCACTGGATAAATCCTCTAGGAAAAAAATCAGCAAAGCAGCAGCAATCCTAAATGACTCACTAGATCAGATGGACTTAATTGACATCTTCAGAACATTTCACCCTAAAGCCATGGAATATACGTTCTTCTCAAGTGCACATGGGACATTTTCAAAAATAGAACACAGCCGTAACCGGTTTGGCTCAGTGGATAGAGCGTCGGCCTGTGGACTGAAAGGTCCCAGGTTCGATTCCGGTCAAGGGCATGTACCTTGGTTGTGGGCACATCCCCAGTAGGGGGTGTGCAGGAGGCAGCTAATCGATGTTTCTCTCTCATCGATGTTTCTAACTCTCTATCCCTCTCCCTTCCTCTCTGTAAAAAAAAAATCAATAAAATATATTTAAAAAAAAAAAAAGACCACATATTGGGTCACAAGCAGTCTCCCCAAATTCAAGATTGAAATCATATCACGCATCTTCTCAGACCACAATGGCATAATATTAGAAATAAGCTACAATAAAAACAATCTAAAAAATTCAAACACTTCGAAGCTGAATAGCATGTTATTAAACAATGATTGGGTTACCAAAGAGATCAAAAAAGAAATTAAAAACAACCTGGAAACTAATGACAATAAAAACACACAATCCAAAATCTATGGGACACAATGAAAGCAGTCCTGGAAGGAAGTTTATAGCTCAATAGACTACCTCAAAAAAACAAGAGGGAAGGTAGGAGAGGATGAGGGTAAGGGCAAGAGATCAACCAAAGGACTTGTATGCACACATATAAGCCTAACCAATGGACACAGACACCAGGGGGGTGAGGGCATGAGTGGGAGGGAGGGGGTAAGAGGACAATTGGGGGGGGGGGCGTAAGGACCTTAATAAAGAAGAAAAGTAAACCTTCCTCACATAGACTGGATACCTGGTTGTGTGCCATCTGGATGACCCAGGGAACCTCCAGCCTTCAATCTGAATTAAGAAAGTTTGGGACTATTCCCAGCCATAGGCAACAATAAATCCCTTTTAGAGGTTAAGTATGTCATCCTTGTACTGTTTATTTCTACAAATAACTTTTCAAATATACTGTCCAGCTCACAGATAACCTGGCATGAAAAGAGAAAAGGCACTATAAACGACAATCAGTAAAAACAACAGACCCATGAAGACTTCAGGTATTAAAATTTTAGACAAAGTTGTCCCCTCTCAGGGGACATCGGAATTCTAGCATATCACTAGGATGTCCCCTCTCAGGGGACATTGCAGTTTATTAGTGATTACGGGGAATTGAGTTATTTCAACGCAACTTTTTGAGACATGCATGTTTCCCTGAAGTTTTATCTTGAAATGGCACAAGAAATTAAATCAAAATATCGTAAAATTACTAAGATATATACAAGAAATGTCAGCGGGTTTTGTGTCGGATTAAACAATAAACTACATATTCCCGATGTGGGACAAAGAAAACGGGACTGCATTGTGTTCTAACAGGAAAACACCTGGTGGCAGGCGTCAAACCACTTATTACTGTCAAACATGCACTAATCAGCCTGCAATGCATATTGGGGAGTGTTACAAAACTTATCATACTGTACAAAATTATAAACAATAAAATATTGTTTTTTTTTGCAAATATACATTCCTCGATGTCACCCAATTCATATAAGTCCAATATCATTATAATACGTTACTTGGTTCCAAAATTATACTAAATAATACGAGGGTCTGTAAATGCACGTTTCCGCCGCAAAGTAGCGTCAAGTAGCTGGTAGCCAATGTCCAGAATGGTTCGGAGTGCAAAGGGTTAAAATTTTAGACAAAGTTATCACAGCCTCTCTGCAATGAAGTGCTAATTATTTACAAGTGTGGATTGGGGTGCTTAGCTAGAGCTCTTTCCCTAAGTAAACTTGTTCCTTTCTTCCTGAAGGTGTCAACCTTATCCAAGATCCAGTTTAACTGCAGCTATAGAAGGCTGCAACTGTTCTCAGAAGCTGTTTTCAAGGAATCACCACGACAGCAAAGAAGTCAGTTCTTAAGAACAATATTTAACCAACTCTCTTTAAACTCATGCTATGTTCTGATACACATGTTCTCATAATCCACTTTTGTATCTAAAATTTCAAAATTAAATATGCCAAAGATAAAATAACTAGTCATTCTAAGCCTTTCTCCCTCTAATAGTATACTCCCTGTCCCCATCCTTTAGAATCATTGCTCTAAGTTCATTACTTTTTCTATAACTCACTTGGCAGTCAATTTTCATTTGTAGAAAGAGGCTTTTTTCATCACACTTCAAACTGATGTGTAACTCCCCTAGGAATGATAAATTAGGACGTGTCCATGACACGTGGTGTTTGTCGTTTGTGAGCTTTTCAAATGCATATCAGTACTACAGTGCAGGGGCTCACAAACCTTTCTGTAAAGGGCCAGAGAGTATTTTCAACTCTGTGGCCCATACTGTCTGTCTCTGCAGTTGCAGTGTGAAAGCAGCCAGATGCAAATGAATAGGTGTGGCAGTGTTCAAACAAAACTTTATTTACAAAAACAGGCCAGTTTGCTGGCCCCTGATTTAGTGAATAACAAAATACAGATTCACTGAAAGGCATCACTGAATTCATTTGTCATTCATCTTTTATTGTTTTCTTAGTCAAACACTTAAAAGTACAAATTCTAATAAGAGAATGTGAAATTTTGTTGTTAACAAAGGGCTCTTCATACTGGAAAGTTGAGAATCACTGCTGCAGAAAGGAAGAATTTGGTCTTCAGAGCTGATGATGACCACTGTAAAGAAACCTCCTGTAACATTTTCAAGTGCATAGCCCATGTCCCAAGCTGTGCTAAATACTTTATTGACATGAATTAATTTAATCTTGCATTTATTTGAAAACAAAAACCCAACGATGTACATACAATTAATCCTTGTTTTACAGGTTAAGAAAACTATGGCTCAGAAAGTTCAGTAACTTGGCAAGGCTCACATAGTAAAATAGTGGCAGGGCAGACTAAAGTCTAGGGTTACAAACATCCAAAGGCCATTCCTTTAACTGTTACGCTAACCAACCAATCCTTCCTGGTGGGCAGAGAAGATTCACCATGTTGGAAGCTGGCCCAAATTCTTATATCCCCTGATGTTCTTCTTGGGGAGCTCTTACCAATTATCACTGCCTCAAAACTTTGATCTCCCCTGAACTCCTCTAACTTAGGGAGGGACACTTACTCCTTAGATTGTCCTTAAACTCAAGGCTTTACTTAAAGAGGATAACAACTAAAACAAACACACAAAATATTTTAACTCACTAGATATGGCTGTTCTGAGACCACTTCTTCCCTGGACCTTGACCTATCCTCATGAGACAAAGATATTTTCCTACATGGGAATGTGCCTTAGTTCAGATTCTAGAAATCAAGGTCTAGAGAAAACTCCTTTTGCTAGTCTAAGGCCTATCTTACAAGTCTCCATTTTCTGTTCTAGGATCTGTCTTTTACCTGGATAAAACACTAAGCAAACATGTCTAATCCCTTTAAAGGAGATCCCCAAATCCAACCATGGTGGTGTGGTCTTACCATGTGGCCCCAAAAAGCAACCATATCATAATACAATAGCATGTCATTTTCCTTACCGAAACTTAACTCTATTTCCCAGCCAGAAGCTATTCAGTAAGAATGGGACTGACACTCACAATACTGAGTGAGCACATCACACTGATTCTGTAACAAGAAGACTTAAGTGAGGCAGTGTTCCCTGTTCCTGATCCATCCTTCAGGACTGCTGATGGCCCCCACAGCTGCCCTTCCCTTGTTTTGGTGTGGCTATCCCACTGTAAGGCCACTCCCATTACTGCCACTATTATGTTCCTCTTTTAGGAACAAGTGACTACCCTGGAAAAAGAAGAGATGAAACAAATTGCCCTTCAAATATGAATTAAAATAATTCTTTAATTATCAAAAGATCACTGTTGGGCTTAAAAAAAAAGTCTATAACTCTTAAATGTAATGTTAAACTGAGGAAGTGGTTATAGCAGCCTCACATAAATTATTTTAATAAACATCATCACAGTATTAAGAAGGCAAGGTAAACAAATAGCTTAAGTATTTTATTTGTTTGCAACTAAGCTTGTTAACACTATATAATGAAAATGTACAAAGAATAACGTTGCAGTTTTTGGTTAGATTTAAGTCAAAGACATTCATTAATAAGGAATCTTCCAATGTGAATATTCCAGAAATTAAGCCATCTGATGAGAACTGTCTCTGAATATTACCTTACTTTGGAAGGTATTGGCATACATTTTAATTACTCAGATTTTTCAAAATAAGCTGTAATTAAAAAAACTATTCTATATTCAAACTAAAACAATTTTAATAGAACTTTCCTTTCCAGAAACGATAATAAACAAAACAAGGCATTTGTAAAATGTGGTCCTGAACAAGTCACAGTAAAAAATAAATGTATACTTAACTTCCACCTCCTCAAAACAGAGGCTACTTTCTGTTCCTCAGCTTGAAAACAAGGTGAAGAACAGTCTGTAAGCAACTTTGGGCAGGGGGTTGCCAAAACAAAGCTCAAGCAGTTGAACTTGGACACCTCTTAAAAGAATTTGGGAGAACCTGACCGAAGGATCCAAATCTGTATGTAATAACTGATGCAAAGGTGAAGTGGCTCCTCCCAAGTAGCAGTGCTGCCGGGGCCTGGCCCAGCCCCAGCCCATGCTCACCTGGTCGATGCTCCCGAGAAAACCCTGATGCTCCTGCTCTGGGGAGACTTTTTCTGTTTAGAGGTTCAGTGTCCAGGGAGCTCTGTGTGTGAGTGAGGTGAGCACAGACTCCACATGGGTATTTTAAGGCTTGGAGTCAAAGTATCTTTCCAATACAGCTAGGCAGATTCCACGTGTCAAATGGCCCATCTCCAGTTTATTTTAATTCCTCACCACGCATTTACAGACCTAGGACCACAGACCTTTGCTATGTCATCATAATCACATCTGATGTCCATCCTAATGTATGATTCATATTCTGTGCCTGAAAACAGTCCCTGTATTTAACAATACCTACACATAAAACAACCCACTGTTACAACTTACATGGTCACAAAACATTAATGATCTTCTGTAGATCAAGCAAATGTTTTTAACCATAATTGTCGTGCATCAAATTCACAGCCAGAATCCCCAAGATCAAAAAAAATTTGCACAATACAAATAATAACTTAAAATACACATACATACATATACATACACTCTCACACACACTTCTTACAGAACTGTGCTTGGGGAAACTCCATTTGTTGAGTGCCACTGAGGGCATATTTTGCTAAACTGCTGCTCCAGGTATTTTGCTTCGAAAATCTATCACAGTAGGGCACAGCTGTTTATTGGATGAGCAGAAAAGAAAGATATGCTTGTGGCAACCAGAAAGTTTTAAGGTCTTTCAAGTTGTATAAAATGGACCTGCAGAAACCTTTAAGTGTTCTCAGGATGCAAAGTTGGAGCTGAAATGTGATATCAAACCAGTTGCAAAAAGTGCACAGCAGCCATCTCTTGAGGTCAAACCTGGTACCCAGATATGCAAGAAAGTTTCAGGACACATCTATAAATTAGGAATAAAAACACAAAAACGTGTAAAAATATTAAAAAATATAGTGTTGTGCTTTTTAAATAACAACCAATGGTAAAAGTGATAAGCTGCATAGATAATATGAATCACCACTTAAAAGGTCCTAAATTCTGAAGAATTTAAGAAATCTGAGTCAGGTTCAGTGGATATATAGTTATTATAATTTATGTTTTGAGTACCTGGTAGTTGCAACATGTTTAGAAGTAAGAAATTCTGTCCACACTCTTGACAAGTTAGTCTAAGAAATCAACTTTCATAAGTTAACAATTGAAACTACCTTTCTGAGGAAAAGCCAGGTAGACTACCTAGGTGTCAATCCTGGCTGAACCACTAGCTACATAAGCTTGGACAAATTAACTTCTTTAAGTGCTACTGTTACTAGTATAATGGGGCTAATAATAATAGTTCTTCCCTCATAGGGTTTGGCATGGTGCCAGGCATGTAAATATTCTTTACGTGCTAGCTATTATTTTACTTCACAAGGGCTTTTTGCTATCAGGAGACAAGGTACTCAGTTTTAAAATTTTGCTCTTGGAAGTTGGGTAATTCAAAGAAACTTGGCAATACTTACAGCTGGTGGGCCTTGTCCCGTATCGTCGCATAATCTGGTCGTGTGTGAATTTCACAAAAGATTCATATTGTTCTGTGAGGGAAAAGACAGTATATACTATTCCCAGAAACTCTCCCCAGTTTTCAAGAATCAAGTGTCAGGATCACATCTAGCTTCCCTGTTTATTTATTCCCAGGACCTCCTTACAACAGTCACTCTTGAGATTTGTTACTTCCTCTTAGATGCCAGACCCAAATCCCTGGCTCCTAGATTTAACCACTATCACCTATAACAGTGATGGCGAACCTTTTGAGCTCGGAGTGTCAGCATTTTGAAAAACCCTAACTTGACTCTGGTGCCGTGTCACATATAGAAATTTTTTGATATTTGGAACCATAGTAAAACAAAGATTTATATTTTTGATATTTATTTTATATATTTAAATGCCATTTAACAAAGAAAAATCAACCAAAAAAATGAGTTCGCGTGTCACCTCTGACACGCATGTCATAGGTTCGCCATCACTGACCTATAACATAACATTTTCCTAATAATCTTGTCCCTGCTGTAACTCTATCCCCTACTAATGGCTTCCTAAGACAGACAGACATGCTCACTACTACGCCAGTAAATTTTAGGATATCTCCTATAAAACATGAAGCTTGAAGCCCTTTGCTGCACTCTACCATGGCTATAAATTTCATCATACACATTGAGTGAAAAGGTGAGATGGCTAAAAGCTAGGAGAAAATTCCATTCTACCTAATTATAGTTTGCGCTACAGAAGTGCTTTAGAGCCAGCTGGTCTGAACAATTTTGGGGTTGTGGTAGGAGAGGAGAATGATATACAAGAGTTTCTTCTTATAATATACACTAGCGGCCCGTTGCATGAAGAGATTCATGCAATAGGCCTTCCTTCCCCTGGCTGCCGGCACCGGTTTTGCTCTGGCACTCGGGACCCAGGCCTTCGCTCCAGCCTCAGTGGAGAAGCCAAGCCTCTTCAGTCTTCGCTCTGTGCCTGCATATGCAAATTAACCGCCATCTTTGTTGGGTTAATTTGCATACTCATCCTGATTGGCTGGTGGGCATAGCGGAGTGACACCAATTTGCATGTTTCTCTTTTATTAGTGTAGATTATTAGTATATTAAAGAAGTTCTACCATAAAGAGATCCATTTAATTTTGTTGCTAACCCCAACAGTTCTCAATTTACAGCAGGCCTATTAACATTCTGAGGCACCACATGGTGTGGGTCATCAAGTTAGGAAACAATAGTTAAAGGAAGAAGTTGTTGCCTAAAATCTCTCTGATCACAACACCCTCCTCTAGGTACTTTCTATTCCTGAGTCAGATCTCTGCCTTTCAGAAAAGGCTCTAACTTGTTGCCACCATTAATCACTCCTTTTGTTCTTGCCTAAGTGGTGCTTTCCAAACTTTATTCTAATGTACCTCCAAATCACAGGAAGCCTGACTTCCCACACAACCTAAGTGACTCTCACCAGGAAGTCTGATTATGTTAACTATATCCACACCTCCCAATCATCTATTGATGGTTAGCACTATCCCAACCACCAGTTCACAAGCCAGCCAGCCCAAACAGTCTACTCAATGCTTTTGTTCATATGAAAAATTCTCAGAAAAGCTTGGCTTATCTTTTTTCAGGAATGTAAATAAAAAGTCCTTCCATATAATATATAAATGAAACATGTACAATCACCAAAAGGAATAACTTAATAATCACAATTCATTAAGTCTTCTTGAAGGATGTCCTCCTAAGTTATTTACTTAATTGGGGTTAATCTTTACTGAACCTTATTAACAATGGCGTAGCCACTACCTCAGCCTACCTTCTAGTTTGGTATTGAGGATTTGCTCATACTCCTCCCGAATTTTATCTTCATAGTCTTTTAAGAGACGCTCACATATTATTCCAACTTGTCGGAGAGTAAAGGTGGGCTGGTCCTTCTTCATCCAGGAGGAACCTAGCCAAAAGACAAATCTAGTTTACAAATTCTAGTTCTAAAGTTCAGAATTAATAACTTCATGCAAACAGTCCTAGGATATAAAAATTGTTTATAAAAATGATATTTTCACTAATTTACATGGAATATTTCCACAAAATTCTCCGAGTTTCTGACATTTGTTTACAAAGCAAGGACAAAGGTAAATTGAGAAGAGAAACAACATGTATCCAAGTATGCTAGCTCATCTGTATACAAAAAAATAGTTCTGATGCCATAACAACCAGAGTCCACTCAATGCTCTCTTGGTCAAGAATAAGAAAAAAAGTTTAAAGCTGATATAAAGCCTCTAGTCTAGATTAGGAAAAGTAGATTCACTGCATGAGAGCTACCCAGATCCTTGGAGATCACTAGACCTATGTTTAACCAAGGTGGTGCATCATAATTACCGGTGGAACTAGTTCTGGGGTAGGGCTTCAGAATCTTTTAAGTTCCACGGGTGATTTTGATAAGAAAAAAAGTTTGACACTTATGGAGAGCAAATGACTTGCTCACTATAAAAAATTATTAGCAAAGTCATTGAAATATGAATGAAGGAGACAACCACTATACATCTCATTGTTGATCCCTTTTGAATCTGGGCCGAGAAGAGTTAAATGTTTATAACATAGTAGTTAGGAACCAAAATATCCACTGGAAAGCCAGAAAACATGGAAATTGACTTCCTAATCATGATTTTTTTAAAGCAGTTCCATTGGTAATCCAGTTCTGAGTTGTTTTTCAAGGCTTAGCCTGGAATTTGTTTCTTTGGCCTTTAGTCTATAAAAATATTCAACAGCCTTAAACAAATAATTTTTTTGCTTAAACCAAATTTTTTTATCTACAAATGAAACTTAACCAAAATGTCTAGCCAGTTATTATCTGTACTTGTTTCTCTACCCATAACATATTCTATTACTCAAAATTAGCTCCAGCCAGTTTGGCTCAGTGGCTAGTGTGAGCCCATAGACTGAAGGGTCTCAGGTTTGATTCCAGTCAAGGGCATATACCGGCTGCAGCCTGATCCCTGACCCTGGTTGGGGTGCATGCAGGAGACAATCGATGTGTCTCTCTCACATTGATGTTTCTCTCTGTCTTTCCCTTCCCCTTTCCACTCTCTCTAAAAATCAGGACTAACAAAAACAAAATTGTATTACTAAAATTGAGACTTGTTAGCTATAACCATTGAAAGGTCTACCACTTATGTATGTGCAAGAGCAATCAGAAAAGGGGCTCAGAGCCAAAACCTCTGGGTTATAAGATAATTTTTAAAAAAATATATTTTATTGGTTTTTTACAGAGAGGAAGGGAGAGGGATAGAGTTAGAAACATCGATGAGAGAGAAAGATCCATCAGCTGCCTCCTGCACGCCCCCTACTGGGGATGCACCCGCAACCAAGGTACATGCCCTTGACCAGAATCGAACCTGGGACTCTTCAGTCTGCAGGCCGACACTCTATCCACTGAGCCAAACCGGTTCAGCATCAGAGAATTTTTAAAAAATTATTTGCGGTGCCCTGACCGGTTTGGCTCAGTGGATAGAGCGTCAGCCTGCAGACTGAAAGGTCCCAGGTTCGATTCCGGTCAAGGGCATATACCTTGGTTGTGGGCACATCCCCAGTAGGGGGCGTGCAGGAGGCAGCTGATTGATATTAGTCTCTCATCAATGTTTCTCTCTATCCCTCTCCCTTCCTCTCTGTAAAAATATCAAAAAAATATATTTAAAAAAAAATTAGTTGCGGTGAAAGTGACATAAAATGAACAATTTAGCATAGTCACAAGGTTGTACAACCACCATCTCTATCTAGTTTCAAAACATTTCTACTACTCCCAAGTAACACCACTTACCCATTGAGCGGTCCCCATCATTTTAAGTACCATTTACAAACTCTTAAATGGGCTGTGCAAATTAAAGTATACTTACCTGGAGAGCTAGGCGCTGTGAGTGCTGAGGAGTGAGGCTGACTTTCTGAAGTACAAGCTTCATTCTGATTAAGAACAACTTCTAATTGTCTCCACCTCTGGTAACGACTATATTCTTGTTTTATGTTCTGAAAAATTTGCTCTAAATAAAAAAAGAAACACACTTGAACATTCACTTGAGTCACTTCTTATCCTTCTCCCCATGTAATAAATATTAACAAGAAAAATATTTATACTGAATAAACCATTCCTCCTATAACCCCCAAAGTGTGCCCTCTTATTATCACTATTTCAACAATATGTAGAGTAGCAATTATTTTGGCATATGCCACTCAGACAGTTCTCTTTGCTTGTTTCCAGTGACAATGAAGACCAGAGTTACTGTTTGCTGTAGCATTAACTACAACTTACAAGGAAAAAAAATCTTTCACCTAATAGGGAACTATTTTTTATCTTCCTTAAGTTGCACAATTTCACAAATCAGGGTACTAGGGGTGAGTCTCTTACCACCCAAGGCCTTCTAACAGTGAAACTCTTGTCCTGTTTGGACTCAAGATCTTTAGAGAAGAGGAAAGCAGAAACCATTATATTTATAGCTAGAGGAAGATCTGAAATTTATTGCTTGGAATTCATGAACAGGACTTAAAAGAGAATTTTTTAAAAAAAATATATTTTATTGATTTTAGAGAGGAAGGGAGAGGAAGAGAGACAGAAATATCCATGATGAGAGAGAATCGTTGATTGGCTGCCTCCTGCACGGCCCCTACTGGGGATTGAGCCCGCAACCCAGGCATGTGCCCTTGGCCGGAATCGAACCTGGGACCCTTCAGTGCGCAGACCGACGCTCTATCCATAGAGCCAAACCAGCCAGGGCTTAAAAGAGAATTTTTTTATTTTATAAGAGGCAATATTTGGTAGGATTCAGGTTACTATTCTGAGTCAAGGTAATAAAAAAACAAACACTATTAAAAGGAGTCCAGGACACACAAGTACTAACCACCTTGAAGTACATTCCTAGAGACAACACAGAATCTGGAAGGATGTGGTTTGCAAGTTTTTTTGTTTGTTTTTGTGGTAGAATGTATATTCACTTTTCAGATAATAAAGGCTCCTAAAACCCAGAAAATTATATTACCCACCCCAACTCACATTATTCTAATGTATATCATACTCTAGGTATATTATTATTTTTTAATAGGGAGGGGGAAGTGTTAACAATTCAATTTGCTTCTTCCTAGATGTGTGACTATGACCTTGGGAAGTCATTCAAGATCTTTAGCCCAGGTCTTCAGTATAAATGCTAAATGTCTGCCCAATAAAGTTGTGAGAATAAAAAATCGAAGATATTAATAATGCCGTAACAAACGATGGTACAAGCCCAGGAACTGATGAATTCAAAGTAGCTCCACACATAACTAAACACTCAGCCTAAACACTGGAACAATGCAGTATTTTGCAAAGCTTTCCTTTAAGAATGCTGTAAAGTTCATGTGTTAGATCTCTCAATTTATGAAGTCTTTGCTTCATCTTTAAAATATATTCTCCAAGCACACATGTGCCAGATGCAATACAAGGTTGTAAGTAATTGAAAAGACTTGAAACAAGAAAGAAAAAGTATGAGGACAAGGCTCATGAGAACAGAAGATCTTTGATAAACCTTTCACTGCCTCCTGCATGGCAAAGTGAACAAATGGAAAGATACAATTTTGAGGATGGTAGAAGGATTAGCAAGTCCAAGAATCTAAACATGGTACACACAGGAGAAAAATAAGGAAGCAGATGTGATTTTCTTCCCAAGAAGGCCACATGTAACAGGCAAAGGCATCTAAAAAAAAAAAAAAAAAGAAAAATGCAACTTTCTGCTCTGGCCTGCTCTGGGTGAACGTTGGTTGAGCATTGTCCCATGCACTGAAAGGTCCCTGGTTTGATTCCAGGTCAAGGCACATGCCCTGGAAGAGGGCTTGATCCTGAGCAGGGGTTATGCAAGAGGCAACCAATCAATGTTTCTCTCTCTCTCCACACCCTTCCTCTCTCTCTAAAAATCAATAAAAACATATTTTTTTTAAGAAAGAAAATTGCAAATTTCTTTTTTTAAAAATATATTTTTATTGATTTAAGAGAGGAAGGGAAAAGGAGAGAGAAATATCAATGATGAGAGATTTTCATTGATAGGCAGCTTCTTGCACGCCCCATACTGGGGATGGAGGCCACAACCCCAGGCATGTGGCCCTGACTGGTAATTGAACCAGGACCTTCTGGTTCATAGGTTGCCCTTCAAACTAGCCACACCAGCCAGGCAGCAAATTTCTTTTTTAACAGTGGATAATTTTAATCTTTGCCTCTCATTATTTGAGGTTGTGCTTCTATGTTTTATCAGACTAAGTCCATTATTTTTCCAATTCCATCTCCCACTACAACCCAGTTGCATTAAACTATCCTTTTCTTCATTTGTGGGTTTTCTGGCCTTTTCTCAAGCAATTTTGCTTTGCTTGAAATGGGGCTGTTTCTCCCCTTCCAACATTTAAGACCCAGCTAAAATGCTACCTCATTTGGAAGTTATTCCTGCCCCCAATTCATGATCAATTAATGCTTTTCATCTACTCACTTCATGTTTACAAATACCTTCGAGTTCAACAACCCCCCTCCATACCTCCATCCATCCACCTCACTCATTTAAGCAATAAAATATTTAATTTTATAGGCTTTTACCACAAAAAGTGCTGTGACACATATCTTTTTCTGAAGTAAAACATTTCTGAGAGAACTGCACAACCTTTGAGATAATGACTAGGATGTTACAGAGTGGAGACATTGATTTTTAAATGTACTTTTCTATTAATTGGCTTTATTCTTTCTACTTATATAGCAACTAATATTTCCTCCCCCATATTTTTTAACCCAGAGGGTATCTTTCATATAAACCAACGCACTAATAAATCATTCATACTTTGTTTCTTAACAGAACCCTATTCTAATATTCATTAAGAAACATAATTGATCAATCTTTACAAATGAATACTTTATTTATTTTTTAAAACTTCGCTTGAAAAGAAACCAAGATGGCGGCATAGGTAAACACCGGAAATTGCTGCCTTGCACAACCACTTCAAAAATACAACTAAAAGACAAAACGGACATCATTCAGAACCACAGGAAGACTGGCTGAGTGGAAATTCTACAACTAGAAGGAAAGAGAAAAGCACACTGAGACTCAGAGGAGGTGCGGAAGTAAAGTGCAGAGGTACGGAGGCGCACGCGGAAAGGGCTGGCAACTGAGGACATGGTTGTCTTTTTCAATTGGGAGGGAGTTTCAAGCTCCCAACTGCTCTGAACTCCAGTTCCGGGTGAGTCTCTGGGGACTCAGACTCATAAGGGAAGAAACTGGACTGTCTGGCATCGGTCAGAACTCGAGGGCAGCTTTCTCTCAGAGGTACTTGCAGCGATTACTGGGACACTGAGATGTGGGGCCTTTTAGGGTAGGACTAAGGATCAGCCATAGCTGTTTGCTCCGCCCTGTGGATCCCCTGAGACCCCGCCCCACCCAAGCTGTGCACAGAGGCTTTTGCATATGAAAGGCCTGGCCCTTTGCAATCTGAAAATTACCTAACAAACTGCAGCTGGGTCAGAGAAACCCAGAACTTCCAAAAGAAGGCCCAAGGCCCCACAGCAGCTTGCACTGGGCCTCATCTGGGCACCTCGAAACTCCAAACAAAGAAGAAGAATCTGCAGATCTCTCCGTAGCTCCTGCTGGGTAGCCTCAGGCAGAGGCTAAATTAGCACCTCCTTAGAGATCCAAGAGCCAGTGTACCCAGTGGTCAGCATGGGACCATCCAGATTACAACTCCTCAGATCCATAGGGGACACACTCAGGGGGCAGATTCAGTGAGCACCAAAGTCCCAATGAAGCAAGTCTTGCCCCAGAAGGGTGTCTCCAGCACAGAAGTTCTCTCACTGCAAACACAGCTGATTCTCACAGCCAATTGGCCTGGAGGTCAATTCCTCCCAGTGATACCTACAACAATCAAGGCTTAACTACAACAAGACTGTGCACAAAGTCCACAAAGGGGTGCAACAAGAGTGTCCACCTCCGGTAATTGGGGAGGCTGAGCCACTGGGCCCTATAGGACACCTAGCACACAGAGCCACTCTATCAACACAGGGAAGCATAGAAAATGCGGAGACAAAGAAACAGGTCATAAATGACAGAAATGGAGGAAAGCAAACTACTGGATATAGAGTTCAAAACCAAACTTATAAGGTTTTTCAAGAATTTTCTAGAAACCGCTGATAAATTTAGTGAGACCCTCGAGGTTATGAAAAAGGACCAACTAGAAATTAAGCATACACTTACTGAAATAAAGAATATTATACAGACTCCCAACAGCAAACCAGAGGAACGCAAGAATCAAGTCAAAGATTTGAAATATGAAGAAGCAAAAAACACCCAACCGGAAAAACAAAAAGAAAAAAGAATCCAAAAATATGAAGATAGTTGTAAGGAGCCTCTGGGACAACTTCAAACGTACCAACATCCGAATTATGGGGTGCCAGAAGAAGAGAGAGAGCAAGATATTGAAAACCTATTTGAAGAAATAATGACAGAAAACTTCCCCTACCTGGTGAAAGAAATAGACTTACAAGTCCAGGAAGCGCAGAGAACCCCAAACAAAAGGAATCCAAAGAGGACCACACCAAGACACATCATAATTAAAATGCCAAGAGCAAAAGACAAAGAGAGAATCCTAAAAGCAGCAAGAGAAAGAAAGTCAATTACCTACAAGGGAGTACCCATACGACTGTCAGCTGATTTCTCAACAGAAACTTTGCAGGCCAGAAGGGAGTGGCAAGAAATATTCAAAGTGATGAATAGCAAGAACCTACAACCAAGATTACTTTATCCAGCAAAGCTATCATTCAGAATTGAAGGTCAGATAAAGAGCTTCACAGATAAGGAAAAGCTAAAGGAGTTCATCACCACCAAACCAGTATTATATGAAATGTTGAAAGGTATCCTTTAAGAAGAGGAAGAAGAAGAAAAAGGTAAAGATACAAATTATGAACAACAAATACACATCTATCAACAAGTGAATCTAAAAATCAAGTGAATAATCTGATGAACAGAATAAACTGGTGAATATAACAGAATCAGGGGCATAGAAAGGGAGTGGACTGACTATTCTGGGGGGTGGGGAAGGAGTGTGGGGGGTGCGGGAAGAGACTGGACAAAAATCGTACACCTATGGATGAGGACAGTAGGGGGTGGGGGGGTAAGGGCAGAGGGTGGGGTGGGAACCGGGTGGAAGGGAGCTATGGGGGAAAAAAGAGGAACAACTGTAATAATCTGAACAATAAAGATTTAATTTAAAAAAAAAAACAAAAAAAACTTCGCTTTATTGTTGAAAGTATTACAGATGTTCCCTTTTTTCCTCATTGATCCCTTCTAGCCCACACCCAGTGCCCAACCCAGGCCTTTACCACACTATTGTCATTGTGTTTCAAATGAATATTTTAAGCAGAATATTTTACAATAAAATGACCAAGAAGCTAGTTTGCATGATCTGTATGGGAAGATTAAATTTAAGTTTAAAAAAGTAGTGATCCCATTATAGCACTCTGCAAATTTTTAGGCTCCCAAATACATTCAGCAATAATTTATTATGCATTTGGTGTAATGTGAACTACAATAAAATTAGTCTACAGAGTAGTATTGGGAGAAATAAAACATTTACATAATATTCATCAAGACAGATGGAGCAACTATTAATTCTGTTTTATCGAAGTTCTATTTGTAGCTGTAGGAGCAGTGGACAAAAAAAAAGTCACCCTCAGCCTTTGAAGGACTTTTTACAAAAACTTCTGCAAACATTCTTCTTCAGTGCAACATAAGTGGTCTGGGGATTTAAAGTCGAACAGAGTTCCTCATGGGGCAGGGTTAGTCAGGTAATGGATGGAGACTTAAGAAAATTAGTGCATTTGGATTAGCAAAGAGCAGGGGAAAACATCATGATGGAAGGCAAGAATACAGACACAGCCAAGTGGGCCTGGGGGAAAAGAGCAAAGGCCTGGTTTGGGGGAAAAGAGCAAAGGCCTGGTTTGGTGGAAAATGTGAGAAAGACTGACTAGGGAAGAGATGGTTGTAGCTGGTAAATCCTTTGAAATCCTCTAAAAAAGAGGTGAACATGAGTAAGGACATGCCGTCCAGGGCAGCCGGGCTGGCGACTGCAGGAAGGCTGGTTAGAGAGGACGAGGGCCTGGAACCTGCAGGGTGGATGTGCAAAGGAGGCATAAAGCCGACATTCACTGCTAACTGAAAGCGGGTGAAGAAAGAATGATTTCATGGCAATTCCAAGGTTTTGCTTATGCTTGAAAAACAGAAAGCACACAAAGAAATGACTTGCCAAAGTTCAGTTCGGAGACTCCCCCCATTTCCGGGCGCCCTTTAAACTGCTAAACATTAATTCTGGTGCATTTTCCCCCGCAACTCCCACACAATGGTTCCATTTTTTAAAATTAATTTTTACTTGATGGTCACATCAGCTCTCCCCTTCACGTGGCCAATGCCCTTACTGAAGGCGACTCTCTTTGCTAAGGAGAGCTGAATTCCTCCTCCTGGAACCTCGGTATATCTCTGTATATGTAAGGATTCTCAGATTCTAGCCAACGACCGACCGATGTCACGCCATATATGGTACAATAGCCATACAATAAAAAGCATGTCCAGTCCCTTAGAAGTAGTCGGGTTGAGATCGGATTCCCCAACTTCCGCGGGGCCTCGGGTCCCTCCAGACGCCTGGAAATCAGGTCTCCCGACGAGCTACCGTGCAGCGCGGACCAGCACGCACTCGGGCCCCCTCCCTCAAGGCCGGGTTCGTGAGTAGAATCCCATGTTCCAGGGCCCACTGGACCTCCAGGCGGCTCCGTGCAGGCCCGGGCGGCGGAGGCAGGAGGGGCTGGGGCCCGGCGAGGGCCCGGAGCAGCCAGGGATGTTCCCGTCTCCCTCTGGCTGCCCACCCTCCCAGGCTCTCCAGCTCCAGGAAAACAGAAAACGGGCTCTGTGGCCCCACCACCCCTCCCGGATGTCTCCCATCCCCGGAAGCGCGCAGGCCCAGCGGCACCCCAGTTCCCTTTTCTCAGGACGGAGAAGGGGTCCGGGGGTCAATCAGCCTAGCGCCCATCACCCTCCCCCCGCAGCCCCCTCCCAGGGCCAGGGCCTGGCTTCCTGCCAAGCCCGCAGCGCCGCTCACCCGGAGTCGGAAGGCGCCGCTCGTTGCCGGGCGGGCCGGGCTGCTGAGGAGTCGGCGGTGGGGTCTGCATCTGAAGCGGCGGCGGCTCGGCGTCCGGGGGCCTGAGGCCCGGAGTGGGGCCGGGCAGCGGGGCGCAGCGCCGCCGCTTCGGGGAAACCGGGCTCAGCAGCGCCGCCTCGAACTCCATGGGCCGCTTCAACGTCGCCCCGCACGCCATGCCGCTGACGGGCCAGGAACCAGGAGCGGACGCGGCGGTGACTGCGGCCCAACCTCCGCCTGCTCAGCGGAGCTCCCGAGCCAAGCCGGCTCCAATGGCGCCTCCAGCACCCGGCAGCGGCGCTGGCCCCGCCTCCTGTGACGTCACGGGCGTGCCCACCGCCAGGCCGGGGGTGGGACGCCGGAAGAGGGCCTCTCTGGGAGGTCCGTCAGCCACGGTCCCCGCCGGCGCCCCCTACCGAGCAAATGGAACGGCCTGGGCGGAGAACTTGGTCGCCAGGCAACGAAGGGAAGGCCCCCGCCTCCGCCCCTCCCAGGGTTCCAACGCCCACCCCCTCCCTCGCCGCCGCTCCCGGGTGGCCCTTTAGGGTTTCGCACCTGCGCGCACGGGCCTGGGGGAGGGGGAGCGGATCGCCAAGCTCGGAGGGGTGTGTGGAGAGGCGTCGGGGTCGGCGTCTAGGGGTCCCGTAACCTCCCATCTAGTCCTTGCCCCGCGATAAAAGGAGAGGGTGATTTTTAAAAGTCCTCAAGGGCATTCCCCTGACTCCAGGAAGTGTCAGTTTAAACAGAACCCGAGGTCTGAGGATGGACTTCAGGAAGTCCACCAACCCCACGAAACTGCTCAATTTTGTGTCTGTGTCTATTTTAGGGTAGAAGACCCCCATACTTTCATCGGCTCCTCAGAGAGGTCTGTTACTCAAAAAAGTCAAAGACAAACAGAAAACAACCCAAACTAGTTTAAACCGTTTCAGAATGGTGTCTGTTAAAAACTTCAGCGGATGGCCGATTTGCCAGCTCAGGTCTCTGAACTCTTGACAGCAGGGCCCGCGGAAAAGTGCTTTTGATATTCTGGAATAATAAACGGATACCAGGAAGGTTCCACTCTCGGAAACCGTGTGCTTGTATATTACTAGGGAGCAGGTCCAAGGGATCTGGGATACAAAAAAGGTTGAAACGTTTTTATATTTACTCATATATGTTAAATAATGACAACGACCCCAGGATCTGTCTGCTTCGACATATCTCTGGGATTTTCCAGAACAATCTAAATTTTAGATACTCTCCTCTAATAGGTCATATGTCTGATCAATATGCCCTTGTATTTGAGTTGGAGAACATGAACATGCTACCTCAGTCCCATTTTTTGTCCCGTTCTGTTGCTTTTCTCTGAGTCCTCCCCAGTTAATCCAAATTTCATAAAGATCAAACATAGGTCAATTTCTTTTTTTGCATTTATGTTTGACAAATAGCAGAAATAATTCTAAAATGACTGTGCATATTAGATGTTAAATTTATTTTATCCTATCTCCTTTCCGTAAGGACACAAAGAAGGGTAACGGTAGGCTAGAAAACTAGAAATGGAACATTAGGTCCAAAGAAAAAGATCAGCCCTAATTGGTTTGGCTCAGTGGATAGAGCGTCGGCCTGCAGACTGAAGGGTCCCAGGTTCGATTCTGGTCAAGGGCATGTACCTTGGTTTCGGGGACATTCCCAGTAGGGGGTGTGCAGGAGGCAGCTGATGGATGTTTCTCTCTCATCGATGTTTCTAATTCTCTATCCCTCTCCCTCCTCTCCGTAAAAAATCAATAAAATATATTTTTAAAAAAAGATCAAAATTATCCTAATAATTTAAAAATGACTGTGACAGCCCTAGCTGGATAGAGCATCCACCTGTGGACTGAAGGGTCATGGGTTGGATTCCACTCAGAGCACATGCCTGGGTTGCGGGATCCAACCCCAGTAGGGGGCGTGCAGGAGGCAGCCAATCAATGATTCTCTCTCTCATCATTGATGTTCCTCTCTTTCTCTCTCCCTCTCCCTTCCTCTCTGAATCCATAAAAATATATTTTAAAGAAGAAATGTTTTTCTTTAAAAAAATACTGTAACTAAATTTGAAATTTAGTTCTCAGTTTCCTGGCTGCAGGGTAAGAATGAAACACTGTACATGTTGATAGATCTTGTCATCCTAAAGGAATCAGTTTATCAGAGGAGACAGACCATGATTTTTTTTCTGTAGCACTAACTTCTAAAAGTAATTTCTCCTGTGACTTTATTAGGAACCAATGAATGATGTTATAAAGCAATCAAGATTTGAACAACATATGCAAAAGCAAAATTCATATGGATATTTCTTGTTATCCTAGCTAATAATAGACAAACATGGTAATTGACCGTACCTTCGCTACGCCTCCCATTGGCTAATCAGTGTGAATGCAAATTAACCACCAACAAAGATGGCGGCTAATTTGCATACTGCGGGCAGATCCCGCTGCACCGCCCCTCCGGGGGCTGGTGGCAGCGTGATCCCCAGCCGCTGGCCGCCCCAGCCGCTGGCTGCCCCAGCAGGAGATCCTGGCCTGCCATATGCAGGTGGGGGCGGGCGGGGTGGGCGGCCAGCACCCTGAGCAGGGCGGGGGTGGTGGGGCGGGTGTAGCGCAATCTTGAGCCTCCGCCCCGCCCCAGCGGGTCCGGGCCTGCCATGTGCAGCCCAGGGCGGGTCGCAGGGCGATCCCAGCCTTGCCTTTTTTGGGCAAGGGTGGGCAGGGTTGGCCGCAGCGAATTCCCCACCTCCCCCCTGCCCCAGCCCCGGTTCCGACCCTCCCGTGTTTTGGGCGGGGTGGGCGGGGTGGGCGGCAGCACGTTTTGACTGGCCGCCCGACCCAGCACGGGATCCGGGCCTGCCATCTGCGACCGGGGGAGATGGGGCAGACACCGCGGGATTGAGCGTGCCATCTGCCACCAGGGGAGCGGGCCTAAGCCAGCAGGTGGTTATTCCCCGAGGGGTCCCAGATGTGAGAGGGCACAGGTTGGGCTGAGGGACCCCCCCCCCCCACTGCCAGTGCACAAATTATTGTGCACCAGGCTTCTAGTGTTTAATAAAAGCCAAGGACATAAAAAGCAACCTAGTGGTGGTTATTTTTTTTAAGGGGTTTGTCTAATGTGGTCCGAGAAATTGCTTTCTTGTAGTCAAACTGGTTCAAAGTTAGAGCTTAGAAGGTTTTCATTTTTAATTTTTTAAATATGTTTTCATTGATTTCAGAGAGGAAGGAAGAGGGGGAGAGAGACAGAGAGATAGAAACATCAATGATGAGAATCATTGATCAGCTGCCTCCTGCACACCCTCCACTGAGGATTGAGCCTGCAACCCTGGCATGCGCTGGGACTGACCAGAATCGAACTGTGACCTCCTGGTTGGTGGGTCAATGCTCAACCATTGAGCAACACTGGCCAGGGGAGCTTAGAAGGTCTTCAAAGTATGGCCCCTGGGTCATCATTCTAACTAGCACTTGTAGCTAGGGTTCTGCTAAGTGCTTTGATAGTCATGCTCTTCTCTGTGAGCCTTTAAAAGTCTGAGCATGCCTTGTAATTTTAGTGTTTTAAAACAGGAAGTTATAATTTCTTTATAAATCTGGCTGTTCTTCAAAACCAGAAATTCCTTGAAAATAATATCAAGGCCTCATTCACTTACGTTTCCCCATCCTCCACACAGTGTTTGAGTGCAGTAGGGTTAGGCACAGAAGAAATATTGGTCAAATGAATGAATGGTACTCCGAGTAATTATTTTCAAGATTGTTCTCTCTATCCCTGAAAGCTGATTGTCCACGTTGCTGAATGAGGGTGGATTCAGATGATTCAGAAACCAAGCAAGTAGGTGGCATATCCTGTTTTAAGTCGCAGTTGACAGCAGCCCAGCCAGAGAGATGCCCTTGAGGGAGGCAGATGGGCTGCTTTGAGGGCCACTCACTGTGGTGTCTCCTTATGAAGTCACCACAGTCCAGGTCTGCTTTACTTTGTATATCCAGACACTTGACCAGCCACATACATGCGTACACATACACACATTACTAAGTACCTTTCATGTGCCAGGCATTATACTTTCACGGTTGAGGATACTATGGTAGGAAAAGAGACGTAGTTCTTGCCCTCCTAGGGCTTCCAATCTGTTAGAGATGACAGGCATTTATCAAGTAATCACAACAACAACTATACAACTACAAACTATGACAAGTACTCTGAAGGGGAAAAAACAGGGTATTACAGTGGTTGTCTTACCTGACTCAGAGAGTAATGAAGACTTGAGCTAGGAGCTAACTAAGCAAATAGAGGGTGAGAACATCCCAAGCAGAGGGGATAGCATACCCAAAAGTCAGTGATCTAAGAGACCATAATGTGGTTGAAGAATCAAAAGACATCTAAAGTGGCTGTGTTCCCTGGCTGCTTTGGCTCAGTGGATAGAGCGTCGGCCTGAGGACTGAAGGGTCCCAGGTTCAATTCTGGTCAAGGGCACGTGCCTGGGTTGTGGGCTTGATCCCCAGTAGGGTGCGCAGGCAGCTGATCAATGATTCTCATCATTGATGTTTCAATCTTTCTCTCCCTCTCCCTTCTTCTCTGAAATCAATAAAAATATATTTAAAAAATAAATAAATAAAGTGGCTGTGTTACAGAGCACGAATGTAGAGTCACGGAAGAAAAAAACTGGTGAGGAAGGCAGGAGCCTGATCACTTAATACCCTGTAGGCTGGCAAGAGATTTTTTTACCTTTATCTTAAGAGCAGTGGGAAGCTACTCCAAGAGCTAAGGTGGAAACAAAAGAGCTTAAATATGATCAGATTTACATTTGAAAAGATTCCTGGCTGCTGAATAGAGAACAGGTTGGAGGTGAGCAGGGGTGGGTGGGGATCAGCAAAGAGGTTATTGTATTTGTCCGGATGCATGTCTTGTAGTATGAGTTTTATAATATGACAAGAAACCTCCTACCTCTTAGCACACACAGATTCTTTCACATCACCACCGGTGGGTGTTTTTATGGTAGTTCACCCTATGAAAGCTCAGCAATAGGTCTGAAGTTCTGTCTATTTATGGTGATAGCAGTTGTTTGACCCAGAGACATTGATGAGCTAAAGATGGGTCTGGGAATGAAAGGAAAGAGGGATATCATCTTCCAAAATCTTCCAGGATTCTTTGCCCAAAGTTTCCAAAAGAGTTGTCTATATTTGCTATCTCCTTTTGCCTACCTCCCATCACCTATCAATCACACTGGTCTGATTTCTGCCCCTCCCGTTCCACTAAAACAGGTAAAGTCACCAACGATCTTCAAGCTACGGAGGG